CACACACACACACACACACACACACACACACACACACACACACACACCTGTCTCACAGGACTGCAATTCACTTAAGATAGAAAAATTATTTGAAAAAATGAAAGCAAGAAAACATTAGGTGAATATTTTCGAAACAAAAACGCAATTGAAGAGATGAGAAAGCTCAGCTCTAGGTTAAACTCTCATGCTTACAGTCAGCAACATAATTTTTACTGCCAGCCCATTCAGAAACATTGACCTTATGAAAGAGTCGGAAGGGAATTGGAACAGTTCCTGTGATGCCTGAAATGGGAAACGACTTTTCAGAAACTTGACCTGGGCTACAGAACTCATGTCAGCCTGAGCTAGGCACCAGCAAATGCCCCACCCTCTGGTGGTCCGAATGCATACTTGCCTTTAACCTGGACTCAACAGATGAGGTTCTTTGTGTCTCTCTCTTGCGATACTGGCCCAATCTCTCCAGCTGATCTGGATGGTAGAAGATTCCCGAGGCCCACTTCAATGCGGCTCCTCGGGCCAGTTTTTCAGCTTTCTCCAGCTCGGACCACATATCACCTGGAAGATCAGAGCAGACAGCTGCTTCAAACCAACCGTCTCTTTCTACTTATAGAAATACCTCATTTAGATTTGAAATACCCTAATGACTATCCTGATTAATTGGAACCAACTGATAATACAAACCTTACTTGCAAAAAGCAGAATAAGAACATCATCCGTCTCCAAGGTCACTAACAGCTAATGCAGAATGACAAAGATCAGTCAGTATTTCATTGTACCGAGTGCACAGAACCCAACGTCCCAAAAGTATAACAATGTAAACTAATCAAGTGCGTAATTTTCCTTAATACTCTGTATGACTGGGATCCTTCATTCCATTTTGATGTTTTTCCTTTTACAAGCTGAACACTGTCTTTGATCGTTCATTGAGCTACACCAATAACCAATGATTTTCTGAAGAAGGGTCTAGGCCCGAAACGTCAGCCTTCCTGCTCCTCTGATGCTGCTTGGCCTGCTGTGTTCATCCAGCTCTACAGCTTATTACCAATAACCAATAACCTGTTGGACAATGACCAGCTTGACTTCTGGGATGGCACAGTGGTTAGCACTGCTGCCTATCAGCACCAGGGACCCAGGTTCAATTCTGCTGTTAGGCAACTGTCTGTGTGGAGTTTGCACATTCTGCCTGTGTCTGAGTGGATTTCCTCCCATAGTCCAAAGATAGGCAGGTTAGGTGGATTGACCAGCTTAAATTGTCCATAATGTGCAGGCTGGGTAGGTTAGCCATGGGAAATACAGGGGTGGGTCTGGGTGGGAAGCTCTTCAGAGGGTTACTGTAGATTTGATGGGCCAAACAACCTGCTTCTGTAGGGATTCTATGGTTCTGCCACAGCCATGCAGCTTTAGTCACTTTTTGATCTCGAGGGAAGAGTGGAACGCTGCAAGGGGAGCAAGAGTGAGACCTTATTGAAGCAGCACCCACGCATGAAGGAACCCGAGGCTAAACTGTGGGAAGTTAAAGGCACAACAAAGCACAATAAGGAAGCATTATATAGAATAAATGATCAGGTTCCTATCCGTCTCGTTCCATGCTTTTATTCATCAACGTACCGCAGAGTCACAGAGACAGGGACATTTCGATCCTTATTGCATTGAGTCTTAGCTGGTGTCATTGGGTTGGGGGTGAAAATTGACCTCATTCACCTTATTCAGACAGGGGACCTGCAGATAGAGCTCCGAAGCCTAATATCCCTGTAATTGCCCATCCTCATAATGGAGCATCAAGCTCTGTTGGAGAATCACATCAGACATGAAATATTAACTCTGTCTGTCTCTCCAGAGAGGCTGTCAGCCCTGATGAGTTTCTCCAGCACTTTCTATTTTTGTTTTAGATTTCCAGCATCTGCAGTTTTTAGTAAAGAATTGAATCGAGTTGGAGGGTACCAGGAGCAAAAGATAACTTAGATGTTGGCGTAAACAGGATGTAGTAGATTGTTCCTCCTGCATCTTGCTTGATGGTCGATGAGACGAAACTCAGCCCTGGGTGTATATCACTGTCAGAACTGGATTCCCTTGTCTCTTTCACCCTTTCCTGTCACATCTCAAGCTGAAGGAACATTGCTCAAATGGACAGATTTTGGTGATGGTATCACACCGTTTAATGTGTCATGCTGGCTGACTTTGCAACTTGCACTATCCAGCACCGCACCAGCCCCCCTCCTCTCCCCACCAACCACTTGCCCCCTACCCCCAGTCAGGTGACCCATGTGCAGTACAGAGTCCATGTGACAGAATCTTACCCAATGGCTGTAGATTCTCCAACACTCAAGTCCACGTGTACTCAGCCTCCATCATAACATGCCTGTACCCCCATCACATCTCGCTGGCTTTTCTGCAATGACTCTGTTGCCAATTGGATAAAATCTATATTCTAGTTTTGGTAGTCTCCTCTCATGCTGGGGTCTACCTGCTATCCAAGGAACAATGCTCGTGTGTCGAGTGTTGTCATCCCCTTTGGAACCCTTTCTCCCTTTGGATTGCAAAACATTGCTTGTTTATCACTGAATGCACCTCACTCCCTACATCTAGTTGATCTGCGGCTATATCTTTGGTTTTTTAGAGTCGTATAGCATGGAAATAGACCCTTCGGCCCAACTTGTCCATGCCGACCAGTTTTCCTAAACTGAACTAGTCCCGTTTGCCTGCATTTGGCCCATATCCCTCTAAACCTTTCCTATCCATGTACCCGTCCAAATGTCATCTAAATTGACCCATGAAGCATTTCTGTCATAGAGATGTATAGCACGGAAGCAAACCCTTTGGTCCAACTATTCCATGCCAATCGGATATCCTAAATTGAGCTAAATTGAGTCCCATTTGCCAGCATTTGGCCTGTATCCTTCTAAACTCTTCCTATTCATGTACCCATCCAGATGATTTTTAAATGTTCTAATTGTACCAGTCTCCACTACCTCTTCTGGCAGTTCATTCCATACACCCTTTGTGTGAAAAAGTTGCCCTTTAGGTCCCTTTTAAATCTTTCCCGTCTCACCTTAAACCTATACCTCCTAATTTTGGACTATCCTACACTAGGGAAAAGACTATTCACCCTATCCATGCCCCTCTAGACTTTATAACTTTCTATGAGGTCACCCCTCAGTCTCCAATGCTCCAGGGAAAAAAGCCCCAACCTATTCAGCCTCTCCCTATAGCTCAAACCCTCCAGTCCCGGCAACATCCTTGTAAATCTTTTCTGGACCCTTTCAAGTTTCACAACATCTTTCCGATAGCAAACAGCTCTCCCACTGATACATAATTATTATTGATGGCACCTCAAGATCTGATGTTATTGTCCTCCAGAGGTGAAAGAGCAGACTGGCTCCCATTGAGATGTCGAGATTGCTAACATGTAATTCTTCGGGATGGGCAATGTGTGAGGAATGTAAAGATTTCAACAGTATCAGGAGGTCTAGGTCCCCAACAACAATAAAAAAAACTGAAGATTTAAACTGAAATAGCAAACAAAAATATTTAAAAGCTGCAGGAACAATGGTTACAATCTGCAGTTACCTCAACAGAAAGGAAATCATATCTGCCTTTTCAAAGCAAGTTTAAAAATAATTCAGACTGATTTAACATCCTCTCATTTGTCTTTTTGTGTGTGCGTATATCAGGCATGTTTCTATTATTTTTCCCATTAATTATTTCCTTCTTGTTTCCTCCCTTCCTTTCCTGAAGACGCTGACTCACTTTACTCACTATCTGAGGGGTTGAGGCCTGCAGACTTAGGCCCGGGCCGGCCTGAAAGGAGACAGTGAGAGACAATGAGACCAATCCCCACGGGCTGACAAGGTGACCACCAAGGTGGTGTTTCAAAACTGTAGAAAAATTAACGGGTATTTGTCAAGTGGTGGTGTCACTGGCTATTCAGCTACGGAAAGCATGACAGAGCTCACTCACCAAGAAGGACAATTGCAGGGATATCAGGTACAGGAACTCTAGCTGCAATTCCCCTTCCTAAATAAAGTTAATAAGGTCAGTTGTTGTCTCCAATCCCAGCTAAAACTCAACATACTAAATCATTGAATCCCTGGAATGCAGAAAAAGGCTTGTCAGCCCATCGAGTCTGCACGGACCCTCAGAGGAACATCCTATCCTAGCCCCATAACCCCTGCATTTATCATGGCTAACCCACCCGGCCTGCACATCAAAGGGCAATTTAGCATGGCCAACCCAACTAACATGCAAATCTTTGGACTGCAGGAGGAAACCCACACAGGCACGGGGACAATGTGCAAACTCCACACAGACAGTTGCCCGAGGCTGGAATCAAACCCAGGTCCCTGGTGCTGTGAGGCAGCAGTGCTAACCACCGAGCCACCTAAAAGTGTCCCTGTCTCTTGCTTAGCAGTACACTGACTTACCAAAGTCATTGTGTGAGAGGGATGGGAATCCAATCCAGTCGCAGACTTCAAATGTTTTGAAACTATTCCTCAGGTGGCTATTGCTTATAACATCAAAGTATTGAGTCTAGGTTTCAGTTGCTCAGTTATCTGGCTGAAGTTGAAACAATAACAGCTTTATGATTTATTGGCTGAGGAGGAGATGGGTGTTAGTGATGGTGGGGGGAGGGGAATGGACTGGAAGGAGGAATGGGGGACCTTGATCAAGAGAGGCGCTGAAAACAAAGTTACCCTGACTACATCTGCAGAGGTTAGTGCAAGGACCACTAGGAGATTGATCTAAATGGACTGCAGAGGGACAAGAAGGCAGCTCACCACTGCCTTCTCAAGAGCAACTAGGGATGGGCAATAAATGCTGACCCAGATATAGAGTCATACAGCACAGAATCAGATCCCTCGGTCCAACCAGTCCATGCAACCATGTTCCCAACTAAACTAGTCCCAACTGCCTGCTCCTGGCCCATATCCCACCAAACCTTTCCTATTCATGAACTTATCCAAATTTCTTTTAAATGCTGTAACTGTACCTGTATCCATGACTTCCTCTGGAAGTTCATTCCATACATGAACCACTCTCTGTGTAAAAACATTGCCCCACACGCATTTTTAAAATCTTTCTCCTCTCACCTTAAAAATATGCCCCCTGGTTTTGAACTACCCCACCCTGGGGAAAAGACCCTTGTCACTGGGGAGGTGATGGCTTAGTGGTATTATTGCTGGACCTGTTAATCCAGAGACTAAGATAACGTTCAAGTGACCTGGGTTCAAATCCCACCATGGCAAATGGTGGAATTTGAATTCAATAAAATATGTGGAACTAAGAATCTAATGATGACCATAATTCAATTGTCAGGAAAAGCCCATCTGGTTCACTAATGTACTTTAGGGAAGGAAACTGCCATCCTTACCTAGTCTGGCCTACATGTGACTCCAGACCCACAGCAATGTGGTTGACTCTTACCTGCCCTCTGGGCAATGAGGGATGGGCAATAAATGCTGCTTTGCCAGTGACGCTTTCATCCCGTGAATGAATAAATAATAAATTCACCTTATCTGTGCCCCTTGTGATTTTATAAACATCAATAAGGTCACCCC